TCTCCTTCTAAATAATTAAAGACAAGTTTTAAAAACCTAAGTTACCAAAATAACTTGTTGTGAAAATTCTTTTTTAAACGCTAATGATTTCAATTATGGACATAAATATGAGCAAACTTCAGGAAAATTGTTTCGTGACCAATTTTATTTTTGTTCTCCAACAATTCAAAAGAAAATGAACATCCAATAACATCCTTTAGAGAAAGGTTCATTAATTCATATTCTTCTTGATATAGAACATTAAAAAAATTGTAACTTTTGCAAATCAAATAGTGTCTATTCATTTTACCTTTTGCATTCCAAATGAAGGCAGCTTTTCCCTGAAATGCTGAAATTAAAAAATAAAAAAATTAACTTTCACCAAAAAAAAGTAATAAAATTATAATTTTGGTAATCAGAATATACCACTGATAAACAACCTAGAATACAAAAGTATTTGTATTACTTTACAGCTTATGTAAAGTATCAAAACTTAATTTTTATAAGAATTAACTTAATGATCCCTTTTATTTCTGAAACACTGAAAAACAGAATCCTGTTATACTCAACAAAATGGAGATATGTAAGAGTTAGTAGCAATACACTGTAATGTGATCTATCATCTAAGAGCATTTTTATAATCCCTAAATTACTTTACCATTTTTTGTACTTTATATATTCATCTTAGATTTGGTATCGACATCACATCCATTTTTCTACTCATAGTTCCACTATTTACTAATGCATTAGGCAGGCAGATTAAAAAATGATTTCTGGGTACTTGCCTTTGAGTATGGAAGAAAACTTAAAACAAGTAATATCTGTAGTAAGAAAATTCAGTACTGCCATTTAAGAACTGTGATATTAGTTAAGTCTCAGGGCTGCCAAAGATCTGAATAAAAAACCTTTATATAAAAAAACAAGTTGCAGTTTCTGACACATGTAAGGTATTCAATAAATTTTTTGTGAATTACAATTGTAATACTAAAGATGGAACTGACTAATTCTTTCTTGTATCTTTTATGTGATAATTTCTTTCTGGTTTTGAAAACTTTTATGAACCCTATTCCTACACTACATAAAAATGACATACACTAAGAAACAGCACTATGGTTTACGCTGAACTAAGTACATTATATAACATAAAAAAAAACCTTCAGTGATAAAAAAATAAATAAATAAACCACAGCTTTAAGAAGCCCCCTCTATTAAAAAGGAAAAAAAATATGTAAAATTATAACTGCCTTAAGTAATATCGTATATTATTGCCATGCTTATTTTTTTTTTTTTAATTTCTTAAAACACTGTCTTTGTTAATATTTTCCCTACCTGATTTATCAAGATGGAGGTTATGTTAGTTCCCTAAATATTTTTTATTGAGATATCACTGGCATGTAACATTAGTTTCAGGTGTATAACATAATGATTTTCAATCTGTATGTATTGGGAAATGATCACACTGTATAGTGAATATCTATCGCCATATAGTTAAGATTTTTTTTCTTGTGGTAAGAACTTTTAAGATCTGCTCTCTTAGCAACTTTCAAATATACAATACAGTATTAACTACTGTCAGCATGCTGCACATGCCATGCTTGTTACAGTCGGGTAATTTGTACCAGTGCCATAAAATGAGTCAATGTGGTAACTTAAATGAATTTTAGTCCTTTAAAAAATAACAAGTCACCAGTTTTCTTAGTAATTTTTTACTGTACTTTAAAAATTATCTAAAAACCATTTCTAAAAATATTAATATCCCATGTAGTTAAATACAACCATTTTAATATGTTTAAAAAAAAGTTCTCCCCTTAAATTGGAAAATAGCATTAATTGTATTTGCTTTCTATGTATGTAAATGCTGCTGAAGAGAGTTACAACCCAATAGTCTTCCACAAGGCAGACAAACCTTTCATTTCCTAATTTCTGGCTGTAACCTTGAGATGAGATGAGATTATAAACTGTCTGAAGATGAGATTATAAACTGTCTTATTAGTCTTCAGAAAACAGCACCATGACAGACATCTAGCCAGTGGAAAATTGTTTATTAAATAAATTATAAGAAAAAATATGGCATATTATCAAGAATAATTAAAGAGTTGAGCTCTTAAACGCACATCGGAATTTTTAGAACTGGTTCTGTTACTAGCTACGCAACCTCAGGGCATTTAACTAAAGATTCTTTTTCATCTATAACAAACATGTATAATCTCTTATAGAGGATTGTTGGGAGGTTTAAGTGACGTAGAACGTTAGAAGCATTTACAACAGTGTCTGGCCAACAGAAAAACCACGAATTGTTTTTAGGTTTTGCACACCGCTTCTCTTTACTTTCTCTAAACTACATGAACCACTCATGTTTAATAATGTGAGTTGTTTTCCATATAAAAACAGAGACAGTAGCTAACTTTCCTTGTTCCTAAAGTGATAAAAGAAGCTCTGCTCTCAACCACACATTCTGAATTAATTCATCTTAAAACCTCCCCTTCCTTATATTTTCACTTAACAACCATCAAAGAGCTTCACAATTTGGCCCCTGGACAACCTCAGCTCATTTATACTAATCGGGATATCCAATCTTAATCAAAAAGTCAATGCATCCTTTCTTTCCCACAGGAGATATGATATTCTGCCTTTCCCCAAAATGGCAGTATTTCATATTAAAGATAAGGCCCTCAGCATTCCCTCAGTATTCTCACCTTAAAAAAAAAAAAATGCAAACATTTTATTACATCTATCTCTAGAATGTCCTCAAAGCATACAATTTTGTTTTACTAGGAAGGGACTTCATAATATCTTGCCTAGCAGGAAAAGAAAATATTGAAAAAAACTCAGAAAATTTCAGTTCTTATCACAGCCCTGTCTTTAAAATGTTGAACATAAGTCACATATAACTTGGGATTTAATTTCATCATCTGCAAAAGGAAGGAGTTGGATTAAATGGTCTAGAAGAATCTACAATTCTAACCACGTTCTCCCTTATGACATCTCTCTAAACTGGCCTAGAAAAGTTAAGCTTAAGAATGATTTCTTTTTTCGTTTGCATTACCATTTTCAAATATTTCTTTTCCTCACCATATAAACTGCTATAGATGAGATAGGCTACTATAGGTTATGTGTAATTTCATTCTTGCTGCTTTTCTCTATTTTGTGGGGATAAAGAATTCGCACAGAGGAAGGCCTGTTGAGGAATCTCAATACAAACTGATCTATATACCATGCAACTACCTCTAGTTGTAAATACATTTTTATCAAGTTTGAAAAGAGAGGACAAGTAAAAATTTTTTCCAGGTCTTTTTTTCCCATTACCTGCATTTCAATATACCGAAGGTCCGATTTTTTCTTCTGTAAATCTTCCAATAATTGTTGGTCTAAAGTTACATCTGGTTCATTCTCTTGCAAGAGATACTCAGAATCCCGGTCAATATATTTGTCTCTAATTCTAAACGGCCTCTTTTCTTGATTTATTGATTTCTTTTCCTGGTTCTCAAATTTCTTTTCTCGACTTGATTTGTTCTCAGCAGGAGCTTCAGTACCATATCTATTTAGGCAAAATTAAAAAAAAAAAAATGATAAAAGGTTAAATGAAGAACCACTCTATCCCTGAAACAATACGCTGCTTAATCATTTCAATATTAAGAGATTTTATTCTTTTCTCTTAGTAGTCATGAAAATTCTCAGATTCCTATAATGAATTAAAATTTTTCCTTCCTACAAATAGATAATGCCAGGTAAACTATTCTTTATGGTAGTTAAGAAAAAATCCATGAATAGGCATTCCTCCATTGTAATGACTTAGTGTTTTTCTTTTCTCGAGCCTTGTTTTATTTCATAACTTCATTTTCTCCTGCCACCCTTTCTGAGCTATAAATGGGATGTTACATTACACAGTCCCAGAAAAACTTCTACTAATTTTTTCTCTAAATGATGCAGTTGCTTTGATTTTCCTAAAACACCAGCAATTTTAACTTCTTGCAGATCTCCCTGATATGAGAAATTTGGAAATCCAAAGATGATGGGTAGGAAGAACAATAAATAGCAACTTAATAAATCTCAAATGTAGATAGATTATTCCTACCATACAGCTTTCCTGGGGGAATGAATACGCCATCTAGGTTTTTTTTTTTTTTTAACTCTTCACCGAATCTGCTCATTCCACATTTAAAAAAAATAAAAAATCATCTCAAGGCTAAATTTCACTTATTGAAGAGTCTAAAGATGTTATCTGTATTAGCATTTTTTTTTCTAGCCAATGCTATGACAGGAGTATCACTCTTTGCAGGTATTTTAAAAGAATACTTTTTGTTTTACCCATGATCTTCAGGAGCAAACCAGGATATCTGTGCTTCCGAATCTTTATCATTCTTAGCTTGGACAGAATGTAGTAGCTGCACAATTTGTTCTTCTCGGTGTTCATCCATGTGTACGACAGCCCTCTATTTTGTGCAAAGAAAAAGTATCCTTATCAACATGAGAAAGCATCCACAAAATTATTTGATAAAAAAGGCAAAGTAATGTACGTTCAACGAACATACATAAAAGTAAAGTTACCCCATACTTGTGCTCTTGCCCAGTTCCACTTCCTAGACCCAATTAAGATTTTTCTGTATACTCTTCTAGAGTATTTTCTACTGCATATGTATAAAATTTGCACTAATATAAACGGCAAAAAAAAGCATATTTATGTCCCTTACTAAAACTTTGATTCCTTACCCTCTACCCTTAGATATTATTATGATTTTTTCCCTATCTTAAAGTTTCAAAGATATCCACAATTAAAGTTAATAAAACCCAAATGTTCTGTTAAAAGACGTTAAAAATTGGAAATACTATACTGGGTGCAGTGAGCAGTTTAAGAGCATTTTAAAGCTCTTACACTAAAAAGAGAAATAAATTGAGAAGAAGGCTGAGCTCAGAGAAAATAAAATGATAAGCACTCATGAAGATGATCCAATGTGGCAAATGATGCAGCTGCCTCACAGGATGAGAATTAAAAAAACACACCAGAGAAAATATGAGTTACATTGTTTTACTGGGATTGAATACATGGAAGAGAAGATATGAGTTATAATGTACAGTGTTAAGAACTTTTAAAAATTGTTCTTTTGTAATTAGAAATTATAATTAGTTGAATTTTAAGTAAACCCAGTAGTTAAAAGAGTGGGTAGTTTTTTTCTTTAAGTGTACAGACAGAATGGCCAAGGTATAAAATGAAAAAAGCCAATAGAAAATATGTGCAGAAGGATCTGGTTTTCATCACTATTCATTTTAAAAAAGGTTATTCACTTCACATTCCACACTTTTTGCAGTATTTCTTCCCAAATATATTTCTGGCACATGGTAGGTGCTCCAGAGAAGTCTGTCAAATGAATGGATAAATGGTTCAAACTATCTTTTACAATGACATTTGTGTTAAAACCATTTTTCTCTTTAAGAAAATAAATACACTGCACAAAAAGAATACAATGAGATCTTTGGGGAATTCCAGAAGACTTGTCCTACTAACTGATTAAAGGGTTTACTACAAGCATAATTATGTTCATACAATTAAAAAGTCCAATACAGCAAAACTCAGGCTAATAGAAAAGTCTCAGGAAATGTTCAACTGCGGCAACACCTAATCACTGAAAGACAGACACTATAAGGCCTTAAATTTTGTTTGTTTTTCTTAAATGCAGAGCATAGAAATCTTTCAAAGACAGTTTATATATTAGGCTAATGTATCTTTTTCTTCATAGTATAGGGTATGTCTTCTCCAACAGGACTGGAAGTTAGCACCTGGTTTCTCCTGGACTCTGTGCCCTATGTATCTTTTACCTTTGCTAATTTTAATCTGAAATAATTTGCTATAAAAACCAAAATCAAAAAACCATCCTGTGAGTACACCAGCTTTTCAGTTTTGTGATTCCCCCTAGTGAATCATGGAGCCTGAGAGTGGTCTTGGGGAACCCTGACATAGAGGATCATTATTAGGACATTTTTGCCCTGCGTTTTAAATTGTTATGTCTTTGGCACATACTAACATTTACTGCTATGTTTCTACATGTGATGGTTATTGATTACCATGTTTCTTCTTGGCAATTAGAAATATAAGAATCTACAGCAATACTCTGATTAAAGACTACTATGGGAAGGAAGCCCCAAGACATAAAGTCATTCTCAAGCAAAGCTTCTTTAATTTTTATACTCTTTCCAACTACCTCAAGGGCTCAAAGCCATTGTTTCTTTCATTCACTTTCAAAATGGCAAAGAGGTTAAGCAGTATTTACCAAAAGAATGATTTCCTTCCAACTGAAACTCATTCACATTAAAGCATTTCTTCAACTAGAATTTAACATTTTGAAGCTCTGCCTCTAGTAGGCTGCCTCTCTTCTAACCTTCTTCCGGTTCCATCATCCTTCATTTTACCTCACCTCTTGTATGAAAAAATCTCAGACACACATTTTCTATTTCATGACTATTTTATGTGCATTTTTAAAATTACCTCCCCCACCTTTTAGACATCCTCAAGTATTCTTTCTGCTTCTAGTCATAGATCCCTAGCAAAGGAGACCCTCAATGATGTCCAGCAAATCGTCTACGTCTATCTAATCAGCTGCTAATTATCTGCAACTATTTCAAATTTTCTCCATTCTGACACACGAATATCATCTTCCTGTTTACCCTGTTTCCACACACAGTATTTACAAAGAAAACAAACATCAAAGGAAAAATCCTCAGTCGTTTGCCACCAAACCTAAACCCACCTGTATTAGAACCCCAAATCCTTTGCTCTTTTCCTTCCTATTAAAAGGAAGAGGAGTCCATTGTCCTGCTTAAGGTTAATTCCTCCATCTGAACCCTGCAGCTCCAAATTTCACCTCCTCGAGACTATGTCCTTCTATTGAGATTTATCTTCCTTTTGTAAATCAATCAATCTCAACCTCAATCTCTCTCTCTCTCTCTAGTAGTCATGAGACTGTTGATCAATATTCTGGTTTGCTTCTTTCTAGATATAAATAATAAAACAGCATTTTCCACCCCTGAGTTAAGCATGGCCATAGCTTACTGGTCAGAGAAATGTGAATAGGCAGTTTCTAAGAATCAGGGGAAATTTACAGTGTTTCTTCCCAGCTGCCACCAAAACCAGATAAAATCTAGATGGGTGGAGGCTGAGAGCCTCGTTCTCATGATGAGACCACTCAACTGAACTGCCGTGATAAAAGTAATTTGAGTAGAAAAACAAACCTTTGTTGTTATAAGCCATTAAGATTCTGGTGCTATTTCCTCATGCAGCATAATTTAGTCTACTATGATAGACTTTTCCTCTCCACTGGCAACTTTCCATCATCAGTACATGAACACTGTCAAGTTTCCTTCACTTTTAAAACAACAAAAACAGAAAAATCCTCTTGAATTCTCCCATCCCTATCAGCTATTGCCTGATTTTTCTTCTTCCTCTTCACAGTAAAACTGCTTGAAAGAGCTCCATTTCTCCAGCTCTCTTTCACTAGCCACTCCACCAAAATCTGGTTTTTATTTCCACCACTCATCCCACAGGGCTCTCATCAAGGTTACCAATGACACTGGTGCTAAATCCAAATAAACATTTTGAGCCCTCACCTTGACATGTGTGCAGTGTTTGCCACTACTGATTACTTTCTCTTTTTTATACACTCTTTTATCCATTAAACAATATTCCTGGATTCCAAAACAACACTTATTTCATTTTCCTTCTCTCTGGCTGCTCCTTCCTACATTCTTTGGCAAGCTTCTCTTCCTCTGCCTGTCCCTTAAATTTTCTTGTTCTATATTGTACACAGCAGCCTGAGTGATCTGTAAACCAGCAGCACTGACATCATCTGGGAGCCTATTAGAAAAGTTGAATCTCTGACCCCAGCCTAGTTCTACATTCTAACGCCAGGTGATTCCTATGTATATTCAACTTTGAGAAGCAACAGTCTACAGAATTCAGGCCTGCACCCACTGCTAACTGTCCAAGAACTATCCATAAGCCCACAAACTGCCAAATGTTCACCTGCAGACTAGATTTCTCTAGGCATCAGATCCACACATAGCGTTCTACCTCCTTGAAATCACCGCTTCTATGCCCTATGACAATATCAAACTCAGTGTCGTTCAGCTGAGTCCATCATCTTTCTCTATCAAGTCTGTTCCTTATAGTTTTAAGTGTCACTTCCCCTTCCAGATAAAATCATTTTGAATCTACCTCCTAAATCATTTTAATCTGTACACTACTCCCTTTTCTCCACTGTTGATGTCCTAATTTAAGCCATCATTTCTCATCTTAATTACTGCAAAGACTACTTAACCCTGTCCCAGGGTTGCCTCTTTTTAATAAATTCTCTATACTGCTACCAGAGTGCATTTAAACACAAATCCACTCATATTTTTCCTTTTTTTCTTTCCTTTTTTTTTTTGTTTTTGCTTAAAATGCTTTAATAGTTTGTTGGAGTCCTTAGGGAAATGTCAATTAATTTCAAAGCCCTGCTTATTTTTCTAACCCAGGGCTTTTCATATTGCTGTTTATAAAAGTAAAGGATCATGACCAGTATTAATAAAAAAGAGCAGAAAGGTACAAACGACAACAAGAACCAGGATAATGTACAGGTAACTAAGTATCATTTTATAAAACGTTTTTGTTCAGTTATATGTATGTGTGTACTGGGTTACAGTTTAAAATATTTTTTGTGGGAAGAGGTCAGCAAGTTTGAAAGTCACTGCTCTAACCTCATCTCACCACAAACATCCATGCTCTTACTCTTTCAGCTTCCTAAACGAGTTCTCCCTGGCATCTAAGTTGTGGCACATGCTGCTGCCTCTGCCTGAAAATCTCTTTCCAAACCCCCAAATCTCAAACATATACACACTTTGCTAGCTTTCAAGTTTCAGCTTAAGGGTTATTTCTGGAAAATCTTCCAGAATCATCCTAATTTGAGTTGAATGATGACCCACACTCTCCTTATAATACTTAACATTGCATTCTAACCTCTCTAGCTCCTAATACACCACAATCTCTGTAAGGTGGGAACTTTATCTTAACACAGTACCTAAGATACTATCTCGAACATATTGGATCCTCAATAAATATTTGTGTAAGAGAGCATCATTAGAACACATTCACTTTGTAAAAACAGAGATTATGAAAGAAGTAAAAATTATGGAAATTCTGACTAGGAAGCAATCACATAGAGCTGAAGGTAGTCAAAGAAAGAGGTAGGATGAGCCAATTATTTTTAAATGCTCATATTTAGATAGAGAAACTGGAAAGACATTTTAGAGAGCAGAATGGTATAAGAACTACAATAAAAAGCAAAAAGTATGTTTACAAAAGCCATAATTACATCATATTGGGGACATTAGCACAGAAAGATGAACACAGAGGGAAATCATTTACGTTGAAGCTAGATTATCAAGATTCCTGGAAAATACGTTAGGATGCCACTGAAATGTATTACACTGACACAGAAGTGACACAGAAGTGATCCGGCTTCTAATTTCAAATTGTGAGTTAGAGAATGAGATGATCTAATATTTTAAAAGATCACCAGGAGTGGCTCCTCAAAAGACAACTGGTGGAAGCTAGAAGACCAATTAGGAGGCCAGAACAGAAAACAAAATAGTGGCTTGACCTATGGTAATTGCTGTGGAGACAAGTGATTTGGGATATATTAAGAAGGCAGAACAGACGGATTTATGGAAATGAAAGCGAAGACTCAGATAAATCTCATTTTGGCCTTGGCAAGTGAATAAATAAATGGTTGTGATATTTACTAAAATGGAAATGGTTTGGAGAGAGGTTGGAAATCAGGAGTAATATTCATAATGATCCAGCGCACAACTATGCTCAGGTGGAAATAGTAACAAACGATTATGCTGATTTAACTTTCCATTTGTTAGGTCTTACTTTTCCCAACTAGACTGTAACCTCCTTGAATATAGTTCTTCAGATCTCCACAGTTCTTAGAAAGTTATTGAGCACACTCTTATAGTAATCACTCGATTATCTTTCAATTTCAAGATGACTTAGGTGTGTTTCCCTTAATTACAAAAAAGTTGGCTCAATGAACGAGTTAATTTTAGCTGTCAAAGAAATATGTTTTGTCTTAATAAAGAGGGTGTCATAAGTTGTAAAGATAAATGGATAATGCCCAAAATCATTTCAATGAAAATGACAGGGATAAAAGAAAAATAAAGAATGATTTAAAAATAGAAGCTTAAATGATGACTTAATTACTCTGTATATAATATAAAGGGTGTTTTTAAAGAATCACTAAAAAGCTGTTCTAAGGCTTATATTTAAAAAGTTTCTGTTTATTCATTTTTTAAATTAGAATAGGCCACTCAAGAAACTTCAATGTTTCCTTTACTACAAATCTTCAAGAAACAAATGAAATGCACAATCATCAACCATAAGGGAGTAAAACAAAATCTCTTGAAATTTCTTCTACTTTCTTCTAGAATTCTAAGTGTTTTTTCTCAAAGAGGAGCTGCTAAGTTGAAATCTCCCCAACCCAACATGAAAACAAGAAGCCTGGGTTTGTGGCTGTTTTATTACCAAAAATGAAAGCTAGACTATCCTGAATGATCTACATTCAAAATAGTGCTTGGCAGCTTTTGTTCCCCGCAAACCTTTATCTAATGTAGCAGACAGCTATTTTAGAGTTCATCGGGCAAAAATCTTAAAGATGACCATAATTATTCTAAGCGAAGATGCGGGCGGCCAGAGATACTATGACAGTGACACCCCAATAAAGTTAATTTCAGTTGGAATCCGAAATGTGCACTTCTATTGTCCACAGTTCTCACGTCCCTTAGGCAAAGTAAATACTAAACCCACTAAAATCCAGACTGCTTCAGGTCAGATGCACACGGCTAACGTTATGCCATATAACATTCACTACCGGAAGCTTTAGCATAATCTTTGCAGTTCACATTGCTCATCACAAAGCGCATCTACCAGATAAGGAATAAAGTCAAGAAACAAAAAAAGCAAAGAAAAAGTTAGGGGCAGCGGCGAAAGATAAAAGGAAACATGTCCTGCCGCGTGCCGTTCCACTCTCGAGTCTCAGATTACCTCCTGCCTCTCGGCTTCCTTGTTCTTCTGCCCCTGTTTCTTCGCGTACCACAAGCCGATATCGCGGCCTTTCAGATGCCCGGGATGTCGGCCCCGGCCGCCTCGACCACCCCCGCCGCCGCCGCCGCCGCCTCCGGAGCTTCTGTTCCCTCCATGGCCCCCTCCGTGGCTCCCCCCATAGCCTCCGCCGGAACCACGGGGCCCACCATCGCGGCCCCAGTTCTGATGGTAGTCAGAGCTCATTGTCCCAGCGGACTACTAAGCGTGAGAAGGTGCAACCGCTGCAAATGGCGACAAGGCCCGGAAGCGGGTGCACGTCCACTTCCACTTGGCTTCCGGCGCCCAGCGCGGGAGGGAGGGCCCTTGAGCGTCATAAGCAACCATTTCCGGTGACTTCACGGGCGCACAGACGCGGTGGTCCGGCGGCTGCCCTTGTGCAGTGCAATTTGAGGTTCCCTCAGTCGTTTACCTGTGTGCATCTGGAGAGAGAGCGAGCTAAGTCTCGTA